ATTTAAGACCATGAAGACAGGCCTAAGGGCATTATTTGATTACAACTCTACAATGTTGGTTTTCCAGCATAGTTTTCAAACGTTTGCACCACTTATAGGCTGTACTGTATCACAGCATACTGAAAATATGCTTTGGAATTTATTGTTTAGAAGTGTGAGTGTGTTGAATATTGAGGTTGGTTTATTTACCAATGCAGTTGTTTGTCTCAGTTCTTGTGCAAAAGTACTGACTCGCTTGCTAAGAACTACCCTAACTTCTCATCGTCTACGTAAAGCAAAGTGTTCTGAATCAGCATTTTTTAAACTTAACACCTAGCTGCTGATCACGTAGTTAACCTAGTGTTCCTCAAACATGATGAGCTAAGTGACCAAACGCCTGTTGTCCCAGGCGTAGAGTACTCTTTCTCTGGGGTTGTTGGCCACCATGGAGTTGTAGCCGAACTGATTGGTGAACTGAATATTGGGGTTCCACCATTTTCCAGTCGTGGTGTCGTATGCAAAGCTGATGGTAATGTGGACTTTGAATTCTATCGCTGTCGATACAATAAACCACTTCACAGGCCACAAACGCATTTCCCATTGAACTCATCCTCCGTCGGAAATAATTAAAAACGAGAAGTGAACGTAATAAAACTGTATGTCCAATACTAGCGTGCATTCACTTGGATAATGCTGACTTGGGAAATAGAATAATATTCAGTGTAAAATGGATAGGACATGGCACCAATAATACGTACGTATCTCGAGAAGGACGGGAAAATGTTGATGGTTTACTCACTGGCAGGTTCCGTATACAGAAATAGGTTTCAAAAATATAAATACATTAAATCGCTAGCCTAGGTTCTTTTTCGTTACTGAATTTTTTTTCACCTAGAGTGTAGCTATAGTCACCTGTAACAGTTCCTAAGCCCCAGGAGAGAGGTACTATTTGACTTCTGTACACGTCTAAGTTATTTAGCATCAATTCGTAGCTGTTTCCTTTAGTGTAGCCCAATAAACATAGGCATACGGGAAATTTTTTTGCTGGGGGGGGGGGGGGGGGTAAACCACTTGCCCAAATTTTTACGAAAGAGAAATTAGGGCCATTGGATTGGAACAACATGGGCCATCCTGGCATACGAACGGTGGCTGGATACAGTTTTTCAGGGTCAATACCAATTCTGAGCATAAACTACGTCGCCATAAACAAACATTTGGAAAAACTGCGACCACAGTTGTATTAAGATGAAAATTTGTCATCATCAGGGTTGCAATGACATCGGAGTTGTCATAGCAACGAAATGACTCCATTACCTATTTTATTTCAGTAATTCAAACTGAGAATTCAGTAGTCAGCCACTTCTTCATTTTCATACCCACTGCTAATGCTATCTGCCATACACTGTTCTTCGAGTGGAGATGATTCTAGAAAGTTATGCAAAAGTTTATTGTAATCAATTCACGACTGGAAATAGCCCATTCCAGGTAGTGCCGTGCAGTATAGTGCCCAACAATAAAAAACTGCAAATATATAAATTACTCATCACGCCGACTTCAGGTTAATACTCAGGCCTTCAAAATAATTAAATAAACATGGAGGCATCTTTAAAAACTGGCTTTGCCCAAATTTTCTTTCACTGCCCAAAAAATCTGAGTTGCCCAAAATCTGGGGGGGACTGCAGCCCCCCTTGCCCCCCCCC